GATTATCTGTAAAAGGAAAAATAATTTCTACAAAAGATTTGTAATTGTTTTGTCTTTTAGCTTAGAACATCTTCCGCATTGAAAAAGAAAATGAGTAACACCAGCGCCAACATTACGAATGGTGGTATTACTCCACCTCAGGAAAAGCGTGACCTGCTTGCGCTTCTGAAGCTTATAAAGAAATACAACCTCAAGCAAACAGAGGAGCTTCTATGTCGCGAAGCCAATATCACAAATCAGGAATTGGAGGAAGTCAATGATATTGAAATAAACACACTTCTAACGTCAGCTCTCGTGGATGGACACGACCATCAAAATGGATTGGTAGCAAGTGGTAGTGGTGGATCCGGTAATGACCCAGAAATACATGAAGCAGCTTATGCAGATCTGCGTAATTTCGTCGAGGAGTCTCTAGATATTTATAAACATGAGTTGTCTATGGTTCTCTATCCAATACTGGTACAAATCTATATTAAACTTATTCAAGGAGGATTCGCAGAACAAGCCCGAAAATTTGTGGAGAAATGTGGCCCAGATTTAGATCATTACTACCGCGAAGATTTGCAAAATTTATTAATGATAACCAAAAGGTCTGATCTAGAAAATAACGATTTCGTGACCGCAATGGAGCTAGACAAGTTCGTTATTCGCATGTCACGGGATTCTCATTCGCTATTTAAACGACATATACAAGATCGAAAGCAGGAGGTGATAGCAGATATAGTCGCAAAATTTTTGCATTTTGATACCTACGAAGGAACTGCGCGCAGCAAGTCTCAATGCGATATCAATACTGGATCTTTAGTTGGCGAAGCAAAACGTCAAGATAATAAAATACGCGTTTACTATGGTCTATTAAAAGAAGTTGATTACCAAACGTTGACAACTCCTGCACCTGCGATGGTGGAAGAAGAAGATGATAATGATCCTGATGCACCCGACAAGCCTAAAAAGAAAAAACCCAAAAAAGATCCGCTTTTCTCCAAAAAATCAAAGTCTGATCCTAACGCACCTGCTAGTGATCGAATTCCACTGCCCGAAATGAAAGATGCCGATAAAATGGAAAAGGTAAAAGCTTTGCGTGAATCTTCCAAACGCGTACCACTAAATAAAGATTCACTTCCGTCTGTTTGTTTTTATACGATACTCAATGCACATAATACCGTTACATGTGCTGAAATTTCAGAAGACTCTACCATGATGGCTGTGGGTTTTACCGATTCCAGCATTAAAGTATGGTCCCTTACCCCAGCGAAATTGCGAGAAATGAAGAGCGCCGAGTTACTTAAAGATATAGACAAAGATGCTGAAGACATCAACACTCGCATGATGGATGATAGGACAGGCGAGGCATCCCGTACGTTCTATGGTCATAGTGGGCCGGTCTACCGCTGCGCCTTTGCCCCAGAAAAAAATTTATTGCTGTCCTGCTCCGAAGATACCACAATTCGTCTGTGGTCGTTCCATACGTGGACATGTGTTGTTGTTTATAAGGGTCATCTCTTCCCCGTTTGGGATGTTCGTTTCTCTCCACACGGTTATTATTTTGCGTCATGCTCATATGATAAGACGGCTCGACTTTGGACAACGGATTCGAATCAACCACTGCGGATGTTTTGCGGTCATCTATCGGATGTGGATTGTGTACAGTTTCATCCTAATTCGAATTATATTGCCAGTGGTTCAAGTGACCGCACAGTTAGATTGTGGGATGTCCTAAACGGACAATTAGTGCGGCAAATGTGTGGTCACAAGGGGCCTATTTACTCCTTGGCATTCTCTACGTGTGGGCGTTATTTGGCATCTGGTTCTTCAGATCACACCGTCCTTATATGGGATTTGTCGCATGGCCAACTTGTAGCATCACTATTACGACATACAGGTTCAATACATACGATGTCCTTCAGTCGGGATGGAAATATATTAGCTGTTGGTGGTTTAGACTGCGTGCTGACTTTGTGGGACTTTTCGAAACTCACTGAGGATTACTTGGCACAGACCGGAGCATCCTCACACAATCCTGACCTAAACGACAGTGAAACATACCTGCTCCGCTCATTTCCAACCAAATCCACTCCCTTCCTTGCGCTGCATTTTACACGCCGAAACTTATTATTAGCAGTTGGCATGTTCAAGTCATCCTAAAATGGCAGGTAGTGGTGGGGTGAATAGATTTAAGTGATTCATTACATTAATACATATGAAGTATTCATTTTAATGTGTAATAAAGTGACTTTACATGGTAAAATGAAATATTCAATGCCTAATTTGCATATTCCATTTGTACACACTCTTCAGCAGCAACATGAGTGGGAGAAGAGCCGTCTACAATGTGATCATTTGATTCGCTATCTAAGGATGGCTCGTTGCTAAACATTTCTGTTGGCACAGTGGCAGGAGCACGATCTTGTACAAACTCCATGACATTTTGCCTCGATTGCAAATGACGTTCAACTTCCGCTGCGGTCATTTGTATTTGCCGCGGTTTCTCCACGTCAGAAACTGCGACTTGCTGAGGTTGCTGGACCCGTTCGGTATGTTGTTTGAGAGTTTGTGAAATTTCATTTGGTTGAACTTGTTGCAGTTTCTTTTTGCGTCCTCGAGTCGATCCAGTACTAGTTCCACCGCCATTCGCAGTAGCATTTTGTTCAAGCTTCCGCCTAAAAAAATTTTATAGAATAATCATTAATTATAAATTAGCTGCAATTACTTTTTTTGCTTCCTTGCTGGCTTCATCTTCTGACGAGTCAGTTTCATCGCTTTCCGAAGACGTGTTTTCTGGTTTCTCATATTGTAGCAAACGATCTAGTAAGAAAGCACGATCTCTGGATACTTTTAACAATCTACGTTGGTTAGAACGTAGTGCATCTTGAAAGAATTCATTTTCCTGCAAATCGGTAGAAACACAAAAGTCAGACTTATTGTTTTTGTTTTTTTTTTAAATATACATATCTTTGTCCGTATGGAAAAGTTACTTATGCCGAAAGGCTGGCTTTAGTAGTTATAAATCGGCATTCGCGGCATGGGATTCCGGATGACTCACTGACGCTGAGCCGTTGAATAACGTTCGGAAAATAAACGCCCAAGAAATAGTTTCGATACTAACAAGTCAATATTCTTATTAAGTCTCATCAAAAAATTCCTTGTCGTTTAAAGAATAAAGGGAAATCCGCATTATACTAAAGCCGGCTTTTCGACATAAGGTACTTTTCCATATACTCACATATATCAAAAATTTGAGTTTGCGTTTTAGATAACGGTATTGTGTTTTATAATCTACGGCATTAGTGGCACCTGAACTATTTCCGCCGCCATTGCCACTTCCACCTCCAATGCCTAAAGCTGACTGAGTGCGCTGTTGCTCATGGCTATCATCATCTGATCCGGAATCTTCATCCACATTGGGATCTGTCTCATCGGCTGGAGTGGCTTGTTGGTTCGCCATGGAGCGACAGTACCAACCAGAAAGCATATCCTTTAAATGAGAAATAAAACAATAAGTCTATACATACATGTAATTCCTGCGCACCACCACAATGACCAATGTTTAATTTAAATGTTTAGAAAATTCATCGGCTAACCGCACTCCATACTAGACAGGACCAGAAAACAAGCTGTCTTGTTTGAGAAAATCTGCTAATATCAATTAAAAAAGCTAAACATGCAAATAAGGGGTAACTCACCGTGGTTTGCGACGTTATAATGATAAACAAATTTTCACATAAAAAAAAAATTGTTTTGACATCTTTTATTGTCCACTGAACTACATTATCGACTCTTTAGGGTTGCTTTCAAACGTCGTTAGGTCTGTTCATGTATTCTCCAATTTTAAATTATACAGCAACCTGCCAGTAGGAATGTTCGATAACTAAGAAAGTATCGATATCATTAATCGATAAAATTCATTGCATGAAAATCGATATTGCGATATATCGGGCCGAACAATATCGATATCGGAAAAATCGATGTTGAAACAATTGAATAGAATATTAGACCTGCTTATCAACTCAACTAATTGTGTTATTTCCATCTTGTATATTTACTGAGGACTAAAACGAACGGTTTAGCAAACTTAAGAGCTAAATAAATCAAACAAGCTGTTCATTAAACCTACGTTAGTATTTTTCCATACACTTCTTTGTAGATGAAAAATAAATTTCAACTTAAATATCGATATTGCGGGTAAAGTATCGATGTGCGATGAAATATCGATATTCAGAAAAATCGATACGATATCAAGCATTCCTACCTGCCAATCCGCGGATTGAAAGAAATGAATGGAGAGAAAAATGTCACAAAGAAATAGAGGTGTCAGACTATCGATAGGCACACCATCGATAGTTTTGATAGTTTTCAGAAAAACTATCAATATTCACGATAGTCTCGAAAAAAAAACAAAACTATCGATAGCACTATCGATAGCGCTATCGACAACGCTAAATCAGTTAGGTTTCTTTGTTTTTACAGGATCATAGTGAAATAAATATTATCTCATAAAAGTTATATTCATTCAAAATTAAGAAACTGCTTAGCCAAAATACTTCTCTTTTTAGAAAGCTCAAAAACAAACACAAGTTATACAAACAAAACAGGATTTACGAATAACACATGTATGTATGTTGGCCTAAATGAGTGCATATTTGAATATGACTAAAAAACTAAATTTTTAATTCAAATTAAAAAATGCAGGTATTACCAACAATAGTTCGATAGTCCTACTAAACTATCGATATTTTTGATAGTATAAAAAAAAACTATCAATGAGTATTGATAGTCTAAAAAAATTGAAACTATCGATACTATCGATAGTGCCATCGATAGTTTGACAACTCTACAAAGAAAGACATGAACGCTAAACCAGTAACTATTTGCAGACTTTATGAGCAGCTAATTTGTAATTTTTCGAAGCAACTTCCTAATAAAAACAATATTTCCTACCTATACATTTACAAAAGGTTTATAAATTGAAGAATGTATGAAAACACCAATTTGTAAAGCTTTTTAAACCTACATTATTTTTTATGAAAAAGAACATTATTTCATTAACTTCAACTAATAAAAGCCCCACAATTACTTGATTACTTTGAATTACACCATGCAGCATGTCTTCAGATGTTTTTTTTACTGTCAAATTGTTGCAAGTTAAATATTATCCAGTAATATTTGTAACTTCCTCTCAAAGAAAAATATAATTTCTCTCAATTTCACGCCGATGTCAAAGAGAAAATTACACATAATAACACACATAAATGTAATATCATATAATTTAATATAATGAATGTATAACATAAATTGCAATCAGCTGCATATTTGCGTTTTTTTTTCAAATACGAGGCATGTAATAAAAGCGGCAATACTGCAGCAGTGATGAAAATTTACATCACTTTGCAAGTGCCCAACTGATAAAACGTTGTTAGAAATACACAACCCTATCGTGTAACCGGCGCCTAAGTATTTTTAAAACTAATACGCTCCTTATATTAAGTGTTTTGTATTAAGTTTAATTATTATTTTTTAAATGAACCTTGTATGAATGCTGGGAGCGAATATTAAAAAAAAAATGTTTACTTTAAAAGTAAAATGCATATGTTAACGACAAAACCAAAAAAAAAAAAAAAATACTTTATTTCTAAAATGTATTATTAATTTATATTATATATTCATATGCTTATAAACAAGGTGCCGATTCGATTCTATTACGTTTTCTTTTCATGCGTTTTACAAGGAAAAATATGCGTTTTGTTAGCTTTGTTAAGTTAATTTTGCTTGTTGGGAATGTATATATACATGTCGACGCCTCCAAACCATACTATCTAAGTCTTAATTCCTTTGTTTTTTGCTAAATTTTCAAACTATATTTGAAGGAACAAAAATGTGAGATAGGGCATTTCTATATTAAGGTAAGGATATTTATTTATTACTGAAGTCGAGTAGAGGATATGTACATATACACACATACATATATTACAGATGTTGGCCACATATACATATATGCATACAATTCGTCGAACTGATGGTTTTGAAGATATCACAAAAACACATTACTTATGTATGTGGAAAGAGTTGTAAGTTTATTTCATAAATGCACACATTGAGGGTGACATAGTTTCAGAGGAGTTCAAAGTGTATCGCCTCACATCTATTTTTAAAAATACGTTACATAAAAATTTATATGTATTAAATGAATTCATATATTCTTCTGTCCATTTGGATTCGATTCCATTACTCCGCAGATTTGTTATACACATAACGTCATAACTATCCCTTTCGAATTTACTGCAACTCTATATGAAATTATCGTATCCAAATACTTTTCGTTTTAACATTTCAAAAAAATTAAAAAAAAAATTTCATGGTACAGTTTGGGAAAAAATACATCACTAACTTATAAAAGTAGGGATGAATTCAAAATTATTCATCATTTATAAAAATTAAAATGTGGAATCTTACAAATAATATAACTTTTTCTCAAGTGCATTTTGAGGAGGTTGATAGAGACTTGTGGCCACTAAAGTTGCAAGTTTTTTAGCGTATTGACATACAGCTGGCACTCGTGTAGTACCGGACCAATTGTAATATAAGTGGGTCATTTTGTATGTCAAAAGCTGCATCTGATCCGGTGTTAAACGTATGTTACTGTATACAATATTGTAGCTGGTAGGCGAAACTGTTCCTTGTCGCACAGACTGGGATACGAGGAAAAAGTCATAACGTTCTGGCAATGTTACTACATCATCGACGACTGTACCAGGAGGTGGGTTCCGTCCTCGAGCGAACAGACGGGTGTTAATATTTTTAGATACCACAACATATGCAAACATTGGGGGTTTCTCAGAGCCAACACGCTTATATTCTTGCTCAAGTTTTTCAACTACATCTTTAACCTCGTGCTCGTAAACTTGTCTCAAAGACCCTTCTCCTACTCCATCACGATAGAATAAAATACGTGTTGGTAATTTCCCATCGTGTTCCTTGCGGTATTGACGTAAAGCTTTTGTCATCATCGGCCAAAGGCTGTTTGCCAAGACATCGTGGGAATGGCATTCTGCCACTGTGCTGTAGAAAGTGGCATTTGTTTTCATATCCATCGATGCTACTAAAGCCCCAAAAGCCTTTGATCGATCACGTGTACTTTTAGCGACATCATAACCGATTGTCATTAAACCGGAAAGTGGCAAATCAATCATCCATGGTGTATATCCCAATTTGCAATTTATTTGTATTGCTACCTTTGTGGCTATACTCATAAGACCGCGTTGGTTATTTGCCGACTTTTGTGTTATTACCTGAGTGGGTATAGCTCTTTCCAAGCATCCTTTCTTTTTAATAGAAGCATAACGCTCGGCATTATTATTTGGTACTAAACATAGTATTAACTGAGGATCTTGACGGCTGCAGTCCTCCATTGCTTGAATGTACGAGTGATTCCTGTCATCATATAACATAACTTCTCTGGGCCGATTGATTCGCATTTGCATGCCACTTGCAGCCCGAATTAGAGATTCTACGAAATTCCTTAGCTCTCTAGAGTTACGGTTTGTGGCTATTACAGACCATCGGTCAAGTCCACGGGATGGAGTTGTAAACAATCCATTATCGCGGAAAAGACGTGTCCAATCAGCTTGTTCACCGGCTGAAGCTTTTTTGTGTTCGCTAAATACAATACGTTGCGGCTCCAGAACGCGACCATTCAGGTCAACCAAGTGGCGATCTAAAGTCATATTCCAACCATTGAGTACTTCTACACTAGCGTCGGTCTGCTGTAGTCTTTGATTGAAAATTCGTAAACGGTCAATGCGACGATCGGGATTCATACGCGTGTGATCTGCCATAGCTCTCATAAGTTGGAAATTATTGCGCATGTTTTCAGTTAGGCCAGTCGGCCTGCATAGTTCGGGAATGAGTATAATTATGTCACTACTGCCACCTCTCATAGCCCTCTCTTTAGCCTTAGATATGAGCAAAGGTTGCTTTGGATCTCGGATGCGAATGTGATATTTTTGGTAATAGTAGTCAATGAAAGATACCTCTTTCTCTTTACATTTAAATGTCTTTGATGGATTTTTGCTAAAATCAATGTCGTTAATGCGATAGGTCTTATTATTATAGTCGGTTAAAACTGTGAGACCTAGCACATGTCGTCTAAATTCCTCTTGGTAATCCTTTGCAGTTTCTGTGCACCTCATCAAAATATCATAAACAGTTTCAGTACGCATTACTTTATGAGCGATTTCGGCACACAACAAAATGTCTCTTTCATGTTGGCGTATTGATGTTTGATATCCCGGCCAGAGCTGCAAACGGTACTCTCGCATATCAATTTTTGCCATCGCATCATAAAAGTTTCTTCCGACTAACTGTAATTTGAGACCTTCCATGGCACGACGCAAAATTAAGTTCAAAATCTGCAGCGACTGCCATTCTGTCATAGAAATAACACCGACATATTTTATTATGATAGTGTATGTGTCTCCAATTTTGGATTTCGCGCGAAGAATTGTTTTATCTTCCTGTAACTTACTCGACGTAAAAAGTTTGGTACCATCATACAAATATCCACCTAATGTAGCACGATGTTCAGAAAGAATTCCACCGCGAACACGGCGCAATTCAATTGATGGAGCAAAATCAACGTGATATTGAAAGATGCGCCATGTTGGTTTCGTCAACAAACGATAATAATTGGTTTGCAGTGTTATTGGTTGGCCACCCTTTCCAATTTTTGTCTGGATATCGGATGGACGAGTGTGTACAATTTCATAACGCTCCCTCTTGGCATTCGGGTCACCACTGTCGGCTGCATCTCCACCTCCGCCACTTGCTGCTGCTGATGTTGATGGCTGATCCTTGTGATCTTTCCGTCCACTTCCATTACGGGATGAACTGGAACTTCTATCCGGTGAAACAGGTTCTTTCTTATATACTTTAGGAGGCCGTGCTTCTTCAGAGGGTTCCCGCTCTCTACGTCTTCGTTGAGAATCGCCACCGCCAGTTGTGCTGGAATATGCTTCCAATGGTGAGCGTGACCTGGAGTAGCGTTGTTCACGTGACGGTCGCCGGCGTCCACGGCTTTGATCCTCAGACATATTTTTTCGATATTACCACAATTAATGAAAACTTTTTTTAAAATTTATCAGCGCGAGGTGACGCGAAGCCCAAAAAAATCGGCAAAGAAACATGGAGTGTGGACTATGTGTACATATGTGGATTGCGAGTTCCCGGAAAACTAGTGATGCCAGATAATAGACCGAAAAATCGTTGCTTCAAAAAAGGTAATAGGGAATTTACATGATTTAACTTTCACAGGCGATTAGTTGAACCAAAAGTTGAACGAAAGTAGGCAGCCGACCAACTTCATTGTAAGCGATTAGTTGAAAGACCGTTTACACCAGGGGATTGTTGCTTTCAACTAAAAATCGCCTCATATAAATTCCCTATTAATCTTATCAGAGGTAAAAAAAATGTAAATCTATTTACAGGACGTCTTCACGTGCTGGAAAATGCTGCACGAGTGAGGACGACGACATTTACAAATGAAACAGTATTAGCCTGAACACAATGAAAACGACGAGCTACAAACCACTGTCAAATTATTTCAACACGTACTCTTATACCATGTTCTGACCGACAACGAAAACACCTTGAAAACGAGTTTTGGGATTGTGGGCTGAAGGCTGTTCACACCGACTGTTGGTGTTTTCGTTGACATTTCTTACATCCTTTGTTTACAGTTTTGCTACACAAATACAAAACCAAAATACTTTTCCTTCAATTTCTTTTCATTAACAACCTTTTACTTCCATGCTTATTTTATTTTGGTCAGCCAATTAAAAATAAATCCGAAACGGCGTATTAAAGATGATAAAATATGACTGCCACTTCGACAAATAATCAAAAAAAACTAGTGCAGACACCGATTGGAATGAGTGGAACGTGAGTTTTTAAGTTGTTTTCAGCGAAAGCTTGTTTTCGTTTGACAGATTTTACATGGACGAAAACACAAGTTTTAGGTCGAAAACCAGTTTTAGCAACGAGAACATGTTTTCGATGTCGGCCAGAACATGGTGTTATGTAGATAATTATTTTGGCGACGACCGGGCTACGCGACGGCTGTGGTTGTGGCCGGATTAGATCTATTTCTATTCTTCTGGCGACAGATAAGGTTCTTCCTCTTCTTTCATGTCAAACTCATATAAATTCATGATGTTGCTGCCGCGCTCAAAGAAATCATGTCGCCATCGATAAAGCATTTAGATAATGAATATGACAAACTGGAAGCTGTGGTCCGGAGCTCGTCGTTTTCAATGTGTTCAGTACTTATAGGGAATTTACATAATTCAACTTTCACAGGCGATTAGTTGAATCAAAAGTTGAACGAAAGTAGGCATAAAATGCCAGATTTCCTGCAAATACATTATAATTTACAAAAGGAATTCCACTACTAATTGCCTACTTTGCGTACTTTTCTACTACCATTTTCGCAACAAGGGATTGCATTCTTGCCCTTTCTCTGCCCTTCGTAAATGCAACCTTTTGTAAGGGAGTGTCAAACCGCAGCTGTCAATAGGTGCAATCCCGTATTCCTCGGACTCGGACTAGTAAAACTGTCAAAAAATAAAAATTCGCCCAGAGCGAGAGAGTAACATTGAAAAGTACGGGATCGCTTTCTAGTAAAAAATGGTAACTTCTGTCAACTTCAACATAACCTCCAAATTTCGGTTGTAAATTTTTGCTTATTTTGTATGTAAACACACTCATCTCACACATGTAAATAACCAAAAATACTTTCAAATTCATTAGAATCCACTTAAACAAGTAATAAAATACTTTTTAACATGAATTAGCAGAGTGCACTTTTCTTTTGTTTACAATTTGGTTGCCAAACACACTACAGCTGATCGTTTGACACATTTACCAGAATTTACCAGCAAAAAATTCTCGGACTAAAACTGGTAACTTCTGACAGAGAGAAGTCCTCTGAATAGTCAGAGAACCGAGTTCGGGATCGATTTCCTGTAAAATCTGACTGATTCTGACTAGTCCGGACTCGTACGGGATCGCAACTAATAATTATCTAACCTTGTATTATTGAATCATGCAGGAGCCCTATGTTAAATGATTTAAAGTTTTTGAATTTCTCACACAAGCTTTTTGTAGTACTAGGCGTATATAACGCATTAGTTAACAGATAGGGTTCTTACTGGGTTCCCTTCCTTTTTCGAACATATTTTGAAAGATTTCTGCAACCTTGCGGAGTGCTGCCAGCTTTTATTTTTAACCGACTTCCAAAAAAGGATGAGGTTATCAGTTCGTCGGAATATTTTTTTATTTTTTATTTTTTATTTATTTTTTGTTTTTATTTTTTATTTTTATGTATGCATCACATTGGACCGCGTCAACCGATTTCGATAATTCTTTCTGCATCGGAAAGGTAGTGTTTCAGAGGTGGTCCCATACTAATCTGGTTAAGATCTGATCAGTGGATCATGAGATATATATATATATTTTTTTTATATCAGAATTGAAGTCGGTTTTTTTTTGCTAAAAATTACTTGTTATCACATCACGATGTAGCGAATAAATGTAGATTAAAAAATTCACGCCTATGGGAGGTGCCACGCCCCTTGCCGGATCCCAATTTTTTTCACCCTATTATAGGCCCAGTTGTCATGGCAATACTCTGTCAAAATTTTGTTCGATTCTGTCCGGCACATACGTGCATATATACATACATACACATTCCACAAATATATAGTACATATATCTATAATTTTTGGGGATATCACGGCCCTGGGGCCACCTATCGTGTAAGTTTTAAGTCCAAATATTTATTTTCAATTGGCTAAATTGTATTCTAAACATGAGCCAAATCGGCAAGTAAATGCAATTTTAGGAATATCCCAACCCCAGCGCCACCTAGCGATTAAATTTTTAGTGGACCTATTTCCCTTCAAGGTGATGACATATGTTCCAAATATGAACGAAATCGGTCCAGCCGTTTAGTAGTTTAGTGACATTCAATATACGGAAAACTATATGAAATTGTGAAATCGTGACGTCTCGGCATTCTTCATTTTTCGGCAACAACAAAAAAATTCAAATTTTTTTAAATCGAAAAACCTTCCACACAGAAGGTCCAAAAAAGTACTTTTTACAGACTTGAAATCGGTTCAGCCGTTTGGTCACGAATCGCGGTCATACGAAAAACATTTCATTTTTAACCGACTTCCAAAAAAGGAGGAGGTTATCAGTTCGTCGGAATATTTTTTTTTCTTTTTTTTTTTTTTTTATGTATGTTACCGCATAACTTTGGACCACGTCAATCGATTACGATAATTCTTTTTGCATCGGAAAGGTAGTGTCTCAGAGGTGGTCCCATCTGGTTAAGATCCGATCAGCGGATCATGAGATATATATATATATATATTTTTTTTATATGGGAGTTGAAGTCGGTTTTTTTTTTTCTAAAAATTACTAGTTATATATATATTTTTTTTATAATATCTACTTTATAATAACAATAAAAAATATTTTTTACTATTCTTATATTTAATACTAATACTTTTTCGCAAAATGGCGTATTACCACCCTGAAAAATTCGCGTGCTGGCTGTTCGGTTCACTCAGCAAATCGTGCTGGCTGTTCGATTTCGAGAATTCTCTCACTACGTGCTGTGGACAACAACAATTGCACGGTGATTGCCAATCGAAATTCATGAACCAAAAATACAAGATCACGCCCTCTTCTTAGTAGCCCGTTATGATCGCATTTAGGAAAAAAGTTGGGCGACTTTGACATTAGCCATTTGTTCACATTTGTTCGTTGTTTACAATTTGGTGCTGGCTTTTTACTGCAATTTTCTTAATTTTCGCTTGTGACAACGTGTGCACACATAAGGTAAAGAATAATTTAACACAACGAAATGATTTATAGAAGAATTTGCATAACAAGTAATTTTTAGCAAAAAAAAAACCGACTTCAATTCTCATATAAAAAAAAATATATGTATATATATCTCATGATCCGCTGATCGGATCTTAACCAGATTAGTATGGGACCACCTCTGAGACACTACCTTTCCGATGCAAAAAGAATTATTGCAATCGGTTGACGTGGTCCAAAGTTATGCGGTAACATACATAAAAAAAAAAAATATTCCGACGATTTGATAACCTCCTCCTTTTTTGGAATCGGTTAAAAATGATTATTCATGCGTTCAACAATTACGCGGTTTTTTTTTGTTCTCTTCGTTGTTTACTTCTTCCAACAAAGATGGCGTCGAGATTTCAACAGCTAGAAAATAACTTTTTTCTTTCTTTCGGGGAGGCGTGATCTTGTGTCTTTCGTTCATGATCGAAATTGGTGGCGTAACCACCGCCTTAAAAGCACCCGCCACTTTATTTGTGTGCCGGTGCTATTATTCCGCGAGTCGCAGGTCTAAGTATCGGCACATTCCGAACGAAAAATTACACTGAAAATAGCACAACGCGGAAACCGGTTTGTCTCCAAACCAAATTTGACAAGGGATGATGGAAAATCGTTCCACATTACATCATACTCCTACCCTGGCACATGCAGTAATTAATTGATAGAAAAATATTTTCTAATAAAAAAAAAAATTATTATAATTGTCAATAGCATTTTCATTCACAAATTATAAAAATATTGAATTTATAACCGCTACCCCTTCTTCCAGGTTGTGTAAAAATTTGATTGCTGTACCAATTACCAGTATCTCGCTAGAACAAATTATGTATAAATTTTTTACTATGGGAATATATCGACAGCTGAGTGGAAGATCGACCAATCACAGGAGCCAGTTCGAAAACGTTCTATCTCAGAAAACTTTTCAAGAGTTAGAGTTTCAGAATTTTATTGAAAAACACCCTATCTCAGAACTCGGTTTAAAAACACACCATCTCGCTGCCGATTCAGAAACGCCTCATTTCAGCACATTTTCAATATACATACATATTTTCAGTTCAGATGGGGCGTTTTTGAACTGGCTGCCGATAGGTCGATTGTTGTTGTTGTAGCGGCTCCACCAAGATAGCTCGATCTTCCATTCAGGTGTCGATATGTATATTCAAAACTTTAAAGCAGCTTTTCTCAATTGAGTTATGAAATAAATGAGCGACATGGTTCAGTTTGTAGAGTAAGATTCAATCAAAATCCCGAAAAATATACAAAGTGGAATTATTTCGTTTTGTTAAAAACTCCTCAGCTATAGTACATAAAATGTATGTATGTAAATATATAAATACTTATTGCTAATGAAAATAGTTCTGCCTTACTCAATCGACTTTTCAATCCACTGATCAACACGATTCTTTAACCTAGGATCAGTCGTTAATTCTTCCCGCTTTCCATTTCCACCCTTACGGACAAAGCCTGCTTCACCTTTTAGCAATACTCCGACGTCAGCCATTTCACTGCCATTAACAGCCGGATTTTCCCGGAAATTCCTGATATCCAAATGTTCTGTAAGATCCTTCAAGCCAACCGTGCCGATCGTACTATTTAAAAACGCTGCTACTTTCCTAATAACTCCACTTAAGTCTGATACCATTTCTTCATAGTTAAGTATAAGTAAGTTGGAAAGGTGGATGTGGGCATACGCTTCCTTGATATGGCTACAGTAAGGCATCCAGGGATCTACACTTGCGAACTAGGTAAATAACGTTGAGAAATAGCACATAAAAGAAACTTACTTAAACCACGGGAAAAATAATCCCAATATCGTGTAAAATCACCGATATAGCCTTGCGTGCGATATAAACGATTTAGATGGTAATAGGAAACTGCTACATCTTTGGGGTTGCGTGCTACATAAATAATCTAAAAGAATATTATTTTTTAATAGCCTTTTGTTGTATTGCTGTTGTTAGTATTTGATTTAGAAGTACCTTGCACTTTTCCTTTAGAACACTTGGCGGCAACAAAGAAAATGAGAAATGTGTTTTAATAAAGCGTCTCTTATTTAACGGCCATGAATTTAAAGTTTTGTATCCTGGGGCGGAAAAATATTCGATGAAGTCTTGTTTGCCATTGTCATTAGCATTTTCAGACAGCAACTCCGCTTTGATTTCAGGATGCACGAACAGGGAAAATCTACATATGTAACATAATTCATATACATATGTACGCAGTAATATTGTATTTAATATTTAAATTTTAAATCTAAATCTAATTATAAGAATGTTAAATAAATAAATACGCATATGCAATGTATGCGAGTATTTTCACTTACTCGAAAAATGGAAACCTTTCAGTGAGCGGCTGTGTTTTAGCTGTTTTAAAGTCCAAATTATTTGCAACGAGCCAAACTAACTCTTGTGTCCATGTAGTGCCCGATCGTGGAAACGATGCCACCCAAATATCATCCGGACGTGCTTGAAAATTATAAAAATTCTCCGCCTCCAATTTGTACTTATGAGGGAAGAAATACTTTTCTGGACCCACCTGCACAAAACCTGTGCGCTCGCCTGTAGTGAAATAATTTGAATTTTTTATTCGTGAAGTAGAATTACTTATGAAGTGAGTATACCTTTAAAATAACTGAGCAGCTCAGCATTTAACTGAGGCTCAACTTCGGTGATTTCAAATGGAAAGTTGTACATGTTTTTAGCGGTCGAACTTTACCGATGCGATGTTAGCATTGAACTAAAAACCAAACTAAATAATTACGCTGTGAGACGCATTATTTTACATTCGAAATGAAAGTTTGCTTAGTGTGCATATTTACATAAATAAAATGTAATTAAAAATTTGTTCAGTGTTACATTTGTTGCGCTTAATTGCCGCCACTTTTTATGTATGTATTTTATTAACTACATACGTTGTTTTTGTTGCCCGTGTAATTGCTAGTGCAGCAACTGGTTTTATTTCCGCTGCAGACGCAACAACGGTATAGTTGAAATACTTGGAACTATATTTTACTTAGATGCAGTAAAGCTTTTTTTAATTACATACGCTCATACGATTATTTCACTATATGCATACACCCTTGTTTAGCAATTATAATATTTTTTTTTTTACAAAAATATGGTTTATGCTACAAACAAAACCATATAAATCAAAATTTCAAACTGTGTACACGATTAATGAACATTTAACGAATTTTCATCAAAATTTTAAACTTTTTACTCAGACAATAATATACAAATTCGAAGTGGCTAAGAAATCGTGTTGATTTTTAACCGACTTCAAAAAAAAAAGGAGAAGGTCAATTCGTCTGAATATATATATACATATTTTTTATGAATGTTACCGCATAACTTTGGACCACTTTTACCGATTTCTACAATTTTAAAAGAAAAGGTGGTACTCCGAGGTGGTCCCATACTAATTTGCTTTGGATCCAATCATAGGATCATGAAGCTATTAACAATATTCTTACATTTTTATATAATAATTGAAGTCGGTGTTGTTAAAAATTACTTCTTAATCGGGCAGGAATTCAAAGCGAGTGATTTGCAGAACCTGCCTGTATAATTTTTTTGCTGACAGCATATAAAAAAATCGCTCATACCTTGCATGGATAAAAATGCCCAGAGCCGTCAGACATTTTTTGTTTAATTAACGCATTTCTTTAGCCACTTCAAATTTGAACATTGTTATACTAAAATTGACTGGGCTAGAAAACCTCATACCAGACTGCTTTATTTTTTTTAATCTGAGTAAAAAGTTTAAAACTCTGATGAAAATTCGTTAAATTTTCATTAATTTTATATACAGCATGATATTTTTATAATGGTATACAGTTTGAAACTTTGATTTATATGGTTTTGTTTGTAGCATGAACCATATTTCTTTACAAAAATAAAAAAGAAAGCTTGCAAAACATAATGAATGTTAAAAAAAAAAAACAAGGGTATACGCAGATGTAATGGGCGAGGATGCATATCGTCGTTTAAAGTAAAAAACCGCGTATCGTCGTAACCTCGTTGTTGTTGTAACAGCATACAAACTCCCCGAAGACTATTTGGGGAGTGTTGCTGGAGTGACAATCCTTGGCCAGATATAAATCTGGGTCGTTCCGGTTACGTAGACCCGACCTCGTAACTGACATTTGCTGCCAAAAATTGGATTTCCTTATCCATTCGTCCTGAAATATACTGGCCAGATATGCGATTGCATTATAAAAAAGAAAACCATTTTGAAATATTAGTGTTTTTACACTCTAGAATATAATTTATTCAACCTTTGAACGGTTTTGAATTTTGTTGGTACGCGGTTTTGTACTTTAAACGACGATATGTATATTAGGCATTTACACGAAGACTACACTAAAAACGAATGAATTTAGTTTATCATATATTTATGTATAATGAAGTGGAAGGTATAAGCAAGTATAGAGTTTAACCCTAGTAATAAAAAGCAACTATAATATCATTGATGTAGGTAATCCATCAAAAATGGTTTATCATCTGGAGCGAATGGCGTTAGTGGCACATCGTAGGGTAGCGGAAATGGTGGTATACCATCACGAACGTGTCCTAAAGGGAACGTTTCTTCCCCAGTCTGTGAAGTAGCATTTAGTAAATAGAACCAAATTATTTTTGAATCAACATACCACGAATCTCGGCAGGAATAACACACCAGCTTCATAGTTATAAATCCTTAGACATGGCAAGATGTTGACATTTTTGTTAAATGCTCCCCATGCTGCTTTAGATAAATTTGCGGAAGTCAACATAAACCAATAAATAGATTGATTCTCCAAGTTTATACGAGTATAACTTTTTATGTGCGGCATTGCTTGCGAACGGTAGCGTTGCTTCGAGCACCATTGAAAGAGATGCCCACGCAGCCACGGTTGTTTATCATTAGTATTTGCCCCATAGGGTAAGCATCCACCACCTATCAATCCATCATGACTTCCATTTACGTTGCTAAAGCTGGGGTAAATCATTTTGAATGGTGGAAAATGACTAAGGCCTGGGGGTCCAGAATGTTTTCGCAAGCTATTGAGAAAATCTTGTTGAATCCAAGTTTGTATATTGGGACCCAGACTACCAATGCTTGAGCTTTGACATATTACTGGTACCCTTGCATCCACTGTAGTGCAATATTTTTGGAGCAATTCGCCCACACGGGCATGCCCCCATGGAAAGCCACGTGCACCCTCGCGGAAACCTCCAGGTGTTGAACCGATAAAAAATACACTATAAAAAAATATCTATTGCAATCGGTATCTTGAAAGGCTACGAACAATCATGGAATCACACTTACTTTATGGAACTAAAATCTGTTTTGCGTATACGTGCTATCCACGGTTGCAACTTGGGTATTTTATATTCTACCAAGTACAACATCAGATCTTGCCGAAAATTTGTTGGACTCTCACCAGCTGTTGTGTCTACATTTTGTGCTAGTGCTGGCAACTTCGGACTTATCCAAATACCTTGTGTGCGATTATGCCAATCGTCTTCGTATAGATTCGCTGTTGAGATTACTATACGCATGCCACCATCAGTGTACCCCAAAAGCATTACTTTAGCGTGTGAGGTTGCAAATGGTGTTGGCATGTTAACTTTAACGGCTGTGATCTCCGGATGCGTTTTTGAGATGTTGATCAACTCAGGTGTTTCATCACCATAAATAACTAGGAGCGGTGTACCCCTGTAAAAAGAAAACAATCATTTACACACTTTACAGACAAATATTATTTTAGTTTAAAATCTATTAACAACTAGTTTAACCGAAAATATGTAATTGTAACGGTTGCTTTACATTACGCCAGCGAAATAATAATGTCCAAGTAGCCAGCCAATTTCTACCATAAAATTAATTTGCACGGACGATTCTAGCTCCCCTAGGCTTTCATCAAGAATTTCTGCAATTATATTGTATAAAATAATTACATGCACACATAATTAATTTGGTATTAGACTTGTATTGTGAAGGCATACCTTGCAACGTTATTGTCAATGGCTCATGATGAGTGAGTTTGGAATCGGTAATCGCGGTGAGGAAGAAATTATAAGGTGCAGCGCGTTCCAGTTTTTCAGCAGCGTGCCCCTTCTCTAAAACCACCGGGATGTAATCCTTAATATTTCTTGTTATTTTGGGTTTTTTGGAAAGTTTAGATTTGTCGATGGGGGAAGAGCTTGATGCGTTACTCGATAATGCATAATCAGTAGACGTACTACCTACAGGAGATTTGCTACGTTTTGCTGGATCAGGCTGGAAAGGCAAATTTATTATTAAAAAAAACAAAAGGGTTGGGTTCCGAGAAGTATCTGCTAGTTCGAAGATGGTACAAAAAAAAAAATGATGGGGGCGTGGCACCGCTTACCTTTCCAGGTTGAAAGAGCAAAGACCAAGGAATTCAATGGCATGAGCCTCTTTCTCTCTTCTCAGGCCACACAGAAAGGAGAACTATTAATTAGTAAAGGTTATCACCTCTAATCGGAATTGTGTTCTGCCCAAAAATACTGTGGAAAGCGTAGCCGGAGTTCAGCCGATGATGGTTATTTTTGGACCGAGCAAAAAATCCTTTTTACTTTATTTTAAATTCTTGTGGCATTTTGTAAGCAAAATCAGCGGTTTTTCACGACTCATGTCATTGAATTCCTTGGTGTTTGCTCTTTCAAGATGGTAAGTTGGACGGAGCTACCCCCCTTGATTTTTTTTTGTATCGGCATCCTACTAACAGATACTATTCGGAACATTTCCATAACGAAAATTGTGAACTTACTTTAACGGCTTTACCATCTAACCGACGACCTCTTATGGTATCGTCATCAATATTACTGGACGTTGGAATTTCACTGGTACCCCGACCACTGCAACTTGCCTTTGGAAAAAGTTTTTCTAGCAGCTTTAACTGAGTTTCTATTAATTCCGCGGACATAAAATATTCATCCGGTATTGCATAGTTATTCGTCGCGGGATCCAAACCCTTCGAATAAATTTTGTCCACTGAAATATAAATGAATATCGTGTGCTGAAAATAAATAAATATGTTCCCCAGTATAATTATACATACAATGAGGATGCGAGAATTCGCTGAAATGAATAGGATTCTTTCGATAACACTGGTCGCCGTAAGGACATGTTTTTAGTTTATCTGCCATTGATAATAAAATTCTAATAATTGCTAAATTTAAAGAACTTTACAAAAAACATTTAATAGTTAAAAAAAAGACACACAAACACAACTCGAGTTGACCGCGCATCAATGGTGCCAACTTCCAAGGTAGCCTGGCCAAATAATTAAAAAATGCCCCTTTTGTTTATACGGTGTTTACGTGTGCGATTGAACAGGCAACTTTTTTTGAAAGCAACAATCGCCTAGTGCGAATGGCCTAAATTGCTTTCCAGATGCTTGACCATATTCACGATTTGCAGGAACAGCTGTTTTCTCCATTAATAAACCTTATGGAAAGTGGTCACCTGGAACGACTTCCTGCAAAAACCTGCAAATCGTGAAGCATCTGGAACGCATCTCTAGCAAGACTTGTTTTGTTTGCTTTTGACATGTTTTTATACACATATATGGTTTCTTATTTTGTTCGTCATATTATAACTCAAATGTAAAAAGTAGTAAAAAAATAGACCGAAGAAATACAACTGAGCCACCGTTACTGCCGTTTGGCGTAAATTTCATATCGGCTGCATTTCTTTATTCATTCTGAACGTTTGGAATAAAATTTTTTGTTTACTTATTCTTTAGAACGTTCCTGATGATATGTTAACGTATATTTCAAACGCATTCTGTTTATTCCGGCTATGAAATGGGATTATCCGGAATGTATAAAGAAACGCAGCCAAAATGTTTATTGATTACTAAATACTCGAATCGCCCTGTAGTTTGTTTCATACGTTTCTTATTTGTTCAACAACAACGCCAAATATTTTACTGTCAGTAGAGAGTGCATTTGCAGTTTATACGTATTTTTCTGGGATTTATTATTGCAATCAACAAATGAAGAAGGGATTGTGAAATTATATAGAGTAAGCGAAACGAAACAAATTAAATATTGGTATATATTAGTTGTGTTCTGCAGTATAATAATTTAACTTAACACTCAAAAATATATCGAAACATGTACATATGTATGTACATAAATATACCCTTTATTACCGTCTTATTTTAGTACAAACGACAATGGATTTTAATGATGTTCAGCTAACAATATAAGGCTTTGTGTTTTATGCGGTCATTTTGCCATTGCAGTTCCGTAAGTAGCTGTTAGACGTGGCAAGTGCAAGTCCCTTTCAAAAGTCTGTCGAACTCAAGAATTTCCAAAAGAGATTGCAGGAGCAGTTACACCTTTCATGAAAAGTGGCTTTCCAAAGCAATTTTCATTTCAGAAAAAACTTTCCGATAATATTTTGTTGTTGTTGCGGCTACAACAACCTCGCCCAGATCGGTTAATATCTCAGTCGTTGTCGTCAAGTTTCACTAACGGCAGCCCTAAGAAGCGTGCAGCCCCAATGGGGTGGGTCCATAGGGACAAAGGCGTTAGGGTTGTTGGGTTTTCCGGGCATACGAAGACACTCATTCCGCACATCTGCGTTTAGTGTGCTCTGGTATGAGTTTAACCTGCTGCAGTAGCCAGAGCGAAGTTGAGCTATTGTGGTTGTTGTCTCGCGAGGCAGATGAAGCTCCGTCTCGTCTATGTCCAGTGGTTGTGCGCCTAGAACGGCATTAATAGGTCTGCAGTCTACATAACTCGAGACTGACTCCCTGTGATTGCCGTTCAGGGCCTGTCGATATGCTGACGGGTCTACGTTTTATCTGTTTACACGGTGAATGCAGCCCAGCCCACTATCAACGATGTTACCAGAAATTTTTATGCTTATAACAAAATTACTGACCTGAAATTAAAAAAAAAAGAAAAACGCTCAAATGGGCATAAAACAACCACAAAGTGTCTAATGCTTTAATATTTATATTGTTCATGTCAGGAGAATACAATAATTACAAGTATTTTTTTTTAATGTGATGCAACATTTTTATAATCTTATAGAAATTCAGCAAAAATCGCGTCACACGGCAACACTCAATTGGTTTGCTAGTGCAGCACGAGCTTGTTGAAATTGTTTCTCGAAAGCGATTTGCGTTATTTCAGTTGCAGTTACACCTTGCAATTTTTATTTCCGAAAGTGATCTCTGCAAATCTGCAAAAAGCATTTTCTGGCTGTTTACACCGGAAAGTAGACTTTCGATTTCGCATTTTGACAGCAAAACACGTAGAAAAAGCGCTTGTATTGCGTTTAACCGCACCTTTATAATTTGAGTAGGTACTTTACATTCATTTAAATCTTCTGATTCGAGGTTTTTTCGTGGCCACACAGTGGTTTTGGATTATCAAGAATACGCAGAAATGTACATACACATTCATATATGTATGTATTATTTGTTAATGCCGATAAGTGCATACATACATATATGTATAAGACTAAGGCGGGTGGGTGGGTTGGCGGGGTAGGCTAGCGAGTTTAGCATTCATTTGCAATTTGTCACTAATTTCTGTTTTTTATTCCAGCAGTATTGGTATCATTACAAAACTGAAAGTAGAAAAGCATAACAAGGAAGTTATCAAAAAATTAGCAAAAGCAGCTAATTCAAGCTGACAACTAACAAAAAGTCGAACAGCCGATGTTTCCAAGTGCTTCTTGGCGTGGCTAAGGTTACGTTAGATTTGGAACTATTTGCCCTCAACATTTATACGAGCACCAACAATATAAAAAATGCCACTTTTATATAGTGTAATATCCCGAGGTAGCACAGTGCTGGCCAAATATGCAGAGTGTGTGGGCAATTTTGCGGAAGTCACGGAGCAAATAATTTCAAAGATAGCGGTAGAGAATCACAAGTTAACTTATTCACATGGTGAATACTTAATACATTACATATGTGAGAACCGCATCATCTATATGTGCATTACAGACAACGTAAGTACCAATGACTATATCATAGATTCCTACATATGTACTTGTCTATATATGAATAAATAGATCCAAAATAAATCCAATAATATAAAAATGTAATTGTACACCCTTATAGGAATTTGATCGCACGCGCGCCTTCCTTTTTCTTGCGGATATCAAACAAAAATTCATACAAACATATGGACTACAAGTAGCAACAGCTATTGCTTATGCAATGAATACGGAATTCTCAAAAGTTCTAGCGGAACAGATGGCACATTTTAGTCAATCGCGCGAGGTGGATATGATTTCCAGAGTTCATGGTCAAATTGACGAGTTGAAAGACATTATGGTAAAAAATATTGGTATGTTTACGATACTAACAGTGTGCTCATGCGGTCGCCTTATGTTCGTTTTCTTGTATTATGAAGAAAAAACTATTTTAATAGTAGTATGTATAAAGCCTTACAAAATTAGATTTTAACATTTAAAACATTATTTTAACTCCGTTAAATTGGCTATGACTTAAAACATGTTTTATCGGCGTACTAAGTTCAAAATGAGGTAAACGGGATTTTATATACATGCATGCATATGTCCATATTTAATTAAAGGTACGTTCTAATTTCATGTTTTGCTACCTGAATTTTTAGCAAATTAATATTGAGCTTATCTTGAGAAAAAAAAAATACATATACATATACTATATACTTCGGGGATGATGATGCAATCGCAACAGAAAGAAAATGTATATGAGTCTTTTCAAATAGAGTATTTTTCTAGTATAAATTCTGATTTTTTATTTCCCAAAGAAATGTTTATACAGCAAATATACACGTTTTAGTATTACGCAGATTTTGCAGCTTTTTTTTTCAGCTCGTGTGTAAATAAAAGTCAGCTGGCACACGGTGAACCTGATAAAATAGTCGTATTTCTAAATAGCGCATAGTTAATCTGTGTCATTTCATACAAATGACTTATGTCTCATTATACAAAAAAATCATGATCCAAATTCTATTTATAATCTGGTCTAAACTTAAGTTCCGTTATAATTAGACGTTTTAACTTGAAACTATGACTACTGGTCAATGAGCTTCTATTTACTACCGTATCTTACCCGTTTTACAGAAGGATGATCCAGAGTTTAGACATAATTTGAACTAGCCAAGGACCGTAACTTCTGACTATTCCTCAACAGCAAGAAAACTAACTACATTTTGATGTTGTTCGACAGGATTTAATGAAATTTGGATTAACATAGTATTTCTGATTTTTAATTTTATTTTATTTACAGAAAATGTTTAAAATTTATTTAAAGAGTTTTTATAGCTAAAACGAACTTGTATATTGAGCGGTATGCATAAAAACTAAGCAATTGCTTTTTCTTGAAATCGCATACCATTCACTTAAATTTGTTTGAACAAATTGGGTAAAAGGTCTGAAGTTTTATAGGCGACATACACAGTGCGTCTGACTCGCGAGTCATTTGTGTACGTGTTGACTCCCCTTCGACTACATACAATTGAATCATTCAGAGTCATGCCAGGAGTCATGTCGGTGTAACAAACACATATTTATTTTCACAGACACATCCAAACTGACTCGCGAGTCAGACGCACGGTGTATGCCGCCTATTAAGGTATTATTCAGCACTTGTGAAATAATAGTACATACTTGCTTCGTTTTATAATGTTGTATTTTTTCAGTCAGTAATGTATTTTTTTTTTCTTTGTAATTATAGACAGTCTTCGGGATCGCGGCGAAAGGCTGGAATTGCTTGTAAATAAAACGGAAAACCTTAGTAATAACGTAAGTAACACATGAGCAAAGTCTACATTATATGCTTCGTCATCAAGTTTATTTGGCATTTCCATTTCTAGTCTGTTGCATTCCGCAAAGCTTCTCGAAACTTGGCACGACAAATGTTCTGGAAAAAGGTGCGCATCTACGTCGTAGTAGTGCTCATAATAATATTTGTTGTTTATGTGATTATAAGTATGTTCTGTGGTGGTCTTGCATGGCAGGGTTGTGTTGCGAATTAGAAAAAAATATATATACTTGATAAGGTTTTACCCAAAATCTTTATCTCTTCGTACATTTGAATCTTTCTTGTCTACGACTCGTATTTTTATTCAATATATGTAGTTTGTATTTAAGACATTTTATTTTTAATCTTCATTTATGTATGTATATGACACGAA